GGTACCACTCCTCCAGCCCCGGTTTCCTCATCTGTCAGATGGTGGACTCCCTGATGGGTGTGGCACCTCCTCTTGGAAGCACCCTCCAACCCTGGTTTCCTCATCTGTCAGATGGGGATCGTAGCTAACCTCTGTGGGTGGCTGAAGGGCAGACACAGAAATCTTGAGAAGCTGGCAGCAGGTGCACAGGCCATGGTGCCTTCTGTGTAACAGCCGGTGTTTCCCCTCTGGGCTCCCTTAGTGGTCGGGGGGCAGTGGGGGGGCGGTGGAGGAGGTGGGGGCTCAGCACTTGGATCCTCAACAGGTGGAGAGAACGTGGCTCCGAGGGAGACTGCTGGTGCTGAGGCCCCAAACCACGCTCCTGGGAATCAAAAGTTCTAAAATTTGCCAGCAATCCTACCCCATGACTTTTGCTTGCCAACGTATGTGTGTGTGTGTGTTGTTGCTGTCACAACCTGAATACCAAAGCTGTCCTGTCTGCTCCTTCCCCATGTCACCACCAGCACATCCTACCTTACAGTGTAGACCACCTACCCTTGCCTCCCATGTAACAGCCTGGGGCTGGAACGTTTTTTTTTTTTTAAAGGATTTATTCTTTTATTTGAAAGGCAGAGTTACAGAGATAGGTAGAGAGAGAGATTGAGAGAGAGATATTGAGCTTTTCCATTCACTGGTTCACTCCCCAAATGGCTACAATGCCCCAGGTTGGGTCAGATCAAAGGCATGAGCCAGGAAGTCCATCCTGATCTCCCATGTGGGTGCAGGGGTCCCAAGGGCTTTAGCTGCTGTCCTAGGTTCATTAGCAGGGAACTGGGTCTAAAGTGGAGTACCTGGCACTCGAACTGGTGCTCTGCTTGGGCGTGCCTGTGTGACTGGAGGCAGCTTACCCTGCAGGACCACCATACCAGCCCCAGTCACTGAGCATGTTTTGTTTCTAAGATTTTGTGCTGTTGACATGGTGACTACCTTCTGACCTCAAGCCCGGGACCCGGTCACGGGAGGAAAGGGAACATAATTTTGGTGCTGTGCGTTGGAGGCCCGCACACACCCCTTCCCCGTGCAATGCTGCATCTGTGATGTTGTCAGATGACCGAGGAGTCAAGATTATTATCAGGTAGTGGTTATCACAGGGGTGGATTCCTACTGCTTTTATAGATACCTCTGGAGCCACTTTATAGGTCATGCTGCAAAGGACACCTTTTGTGTATATGATTTTTCCTTTTAGGTTTATTTCCATAAGATAAGATTTTAAATGTGGGATTACTGGGGTCAACATTGTGTTATAGCAGGTAAAGCCTGTGGTGCCAGCATCGCACAGGGGTGCTGGTTCGAGTCCCGGCTGCTCTACTTCTAATCTAGCTTCCTGCTAATGCACCTGGGAAGGCAACAAAAGATAGCCCACATCCTTGGGGCCCTGCACCCATGTGGGAGATCCAGAAGGAGCTCCTGGCTTCAGAGCAGCCCAGCTCTGGTCATTGTAGACATCTGGGGACTGGACCAGTGGATGGAAGCTTGCTCTTTGTCTCTCTCCCTCTCTCTGTAACTCTCTGCTTTTTCCAATAAACCTTAAAGAAGCAAGTGTGATTACTGAGTTGAAAATGCATTTTCTGGGGGGACAGTAAAACCACTTGGTGTGGAATCAGGGGTCCTGGCTGTCCGGCTGTGCTTCTCACTGGCATTGTGATGCAGGAAACGCTCTGTCTGACTGCGTTTTGCTCGTCTGTGAAATGGGAGAATAACTTGTGCAGCACAACTTACATGTAGGAGCGAAGGCAGAAGGCAGAAAGGGTGCGGAGTGGTTTGATGGTGTGCCTGGCTTTTGATGGGGTCTCAGAAATGTGAGTTGAAAAGGAACTTGGCCAAATTACTTTCTAGATTTTTTTTTTCCCCCTCTAATTCATTTTCTAGGCAGAGAGAGGAGAGGCTGCACACACTCTCATTTCCCGCAGTGCCCAGGGCTGAGTCTGGTAGAAGCTGGGAGTTGGAAAACTCCATCCAGGTCTTGCTTGCTTGTGCGACCCAGCTACTGCTTGCCCATCCCCTGCTGCCTCCCAGGGGGCACATCAGTAAGAAGCTGGTGATGGGGCTGGGGTGGGAGCTCCAACCCCATGTAGGATGCGGGCATCCCAAGAGACACCTTAACTGCCAGGCCCCAGGCCGCAGCTTTTCTCACCTCTGTGGTCTTCTGGGGGCGGGTGGGCACGTCTGTTTCCCACGCTCACACCTGCAGCAATGGTGTTTTCTCCTCTCAGGTACTTTCTACATCCTGACTTTACACCCAACCCCGCATGCGACTCCAGGGACACAGCTGCTTATGAATGCTAGGAGTCTTCATGAGCTAGTGGGGGCAACAGGTACAGTCAGCACGGATCCCATCTACACTGGGTTAGAGGGAAGCACAGATCAGAGGCACCAGAGCTCAGAGGAGGCTCTTCTGTCAGTCCTGGGGGCATCCGGAGAGTCTTCTCGGAGGAGGTGGCCTTGAGGTGGTAGAGACAGTACAGAGAGAGCTGGAGGTGAGGAAGTACAGAATGCACTTTGCACCGGGGGTTCTTTGTGCTGGGAGCCTGTGAAGACAGACTGACGGGCGGGTGGGGCGATGTGAGTCATTGGACTGAAGCCAGAGGGAGAGGAATTAGATTCTTCTGCTTGGTTGCTGGGAAAGGTTGATCTTTATGCAGAGGCCAGGGGGGAGCCGTGCATGGCCTTTGAGCCCGGGAGGGCCAGCCTGGTGCTGTGGCATTTGGATAGTCAACTGTGCTTACAGCTGGGACAAGTGGGAGGAGGCCTAGCCCAGCTAGGCAGGTCAGTGAGAAGGGTGATTTTAAATGTTACTTCGCAGGGAAGGCTATCTCCCATCCCATCCTCTGCCATTCCTTATCTCACATTCTACGTATGTTGTTTGTGTCTTGCAAGTCAGCTCTGTGGAAGCTAGGTTTTCTGTATGTGTTGTTCACTGCCCTGTCCCTGGGCTTGGGCTCAGAGCCTGGGCTGGGCTGTAGTAGTTGTTCAGTCGCTGTACATTGGAATGAACAAATGAAGGACGGAAGGAATGAGCCACAGCGCGGAGAAGGTGCCCCTGCTCGAGTGATAGTTGACATTCTGTTTGGGCCATCTATGCCTCATGGCAGTGGGCAGTTGTACACACGTACTACAACCCTGTGCCAATCCTGGTGTGGTACACAACCTTCCTTTCCCCACACTTCCCACTGGGGTGGATTTGCAGATCTGGGGGCTGGGGTCACGTGGCAGAAAGCACTAGGAGGTGTCAGGACCCGCCCACGCCCCTCCACAGATGGTAGCATTCCCAGGAAGCGGCGGCCAGGGCCGGCTGAGTGAATGGCTGGTGCGCGCCCAGCTCCTCTGAGTGAAGGGTGTAATTAGGAGAGCTCGTCAGCAGCTGTTAGGATGAATCAACTCCTCTGAATCTGGGAGCCAAGCTGCCAGGCCCCATTGGGTGTTGAATGGAGGAAGCACTTCTCTTGCCTTCCCTAGATGGGTGGGGGTTCTCTTGGACACCCCAGGAGCCTGTGAGTGAGTCCACTGGGCTATACTCCCGGATCCGAACATACTCTGAGCCTGGCGTCTAGTGGGGGAGACAGTGAGAGATTGCAAGGCGGATGGGAGGATGGATGCTCTCCTCCCGCAGTCCATCACCTGTTGTTCTTGGTGATTCCTATTCCAGACAAGTTTCTGTGCAGGAAATGACAGGGAATGAGGATGGCTAGCTCTGTGCACCATCTAGGGGAGACCAAGGCTATGCACTTGGCAGAGAAGATAGCCATGGCTGTGCCTACTGTTTGTGGGTCAGGCTGTTTCCTCCCCCGGCCCACCATAGCCTCCCAACTTCCAGATGGGCACCTTCCTCCTTGTCTGTGCCCCATGCCAGCTCCCATGGGGGGGGGGCGTTGGTACATGTGGCCACACAACCGGCTCAGGCTGAGTTGGCCTCCTCTCGCCCTTCATGACCCCGACGTGGACCGTGGCGTGCTCAGCTGATGCCTTTAAGGAGAGTGAGCGAGCCCATCCTGGGAATAAATAGCATCCGGCTTCTGTGTTGAGTGGGTTTCCGGAACGTTTTGGAAGGCACTCATCTCTGAAAGCCAGCGTAACATATGTGCTCCGATTTAAAGTCAGATTGGAAAACGGTCGATTGAAACCAGCTTCCGTGGATTTTACAACAGGTGAAGTGAGAAGCTGAGCGTGGTGGGCTTCCAGGGCTGGGAAGGCTTTGCAAAGCTTAGCTAGGTGTCTCCTGCAGGGATGCGATTGATTGAGGAATTGGTTCGTCGATCCATCCGTGGGACTCTATTTTTGGGGCAGGCATTTGCTCTGGCGTCTGAGACGGAAACTCGAGAGAGAGGTAGTGTGGGGCGCACAGCGATCGCAGATCCTAGTGTGGGTGGGAGACTCTCTCCCTTTCCCGTGGCATGGCCACCTGGGTGGGTTCCAGGATCCCTAAAAAGGGGAAGGCTTTTGTGTTTCATTGATTCTGACTCAGCAACAGTGGCTCTCTCTGGGGGAACTCCCCCCCCCCCCAACAACCCCCAGGCAAAGCCATTCAGTGAAGTGTTCATGCCACACGTGGGCAGATGAGCCGGTGGGGACAGTGTGAGGTGACCTTGGTCTTAGCAGGTGCCTGCCTAATAGTGGCCTCTAAATAGGGGTGGAGCAAGGAGGTAGTCTTTGTGGCTCAGGGCAGCTGATGGGAGCGGGGGTAGGTGAAAGTGGGGCTCTGGGAGGAGATTGGTGAGTTGAATTTGTAGCTAAGACCTTTTACCATCTTGGAGTCTGTCATTGGGGGGTGGTGGCTTAGCCACAGCCAGAGTCACCCGTGTCCCAGCTTGCTTCATGTCATCTGCCACAAAGCTTCAAGAAACAGGGAAGGTCTTATTATTAATATTTTTATTATTTTAATTGAGCACCTATTGTGGACCCAGCCCTGTTTAAGCACATGCCTGTGTAAGGCTGCGACACAGAGCAACAAAAAGCCGGGGAGACACCAGCGGATGGGCTGGGCGCTCCAGAGCTCTCACACGTCTGTGCATATGACACCAGCATTTGGGAACCAAACCTGTCATCTTGTGTCTCCGCAGACCTGCAGAAACTCTGACCTCACCTCCCCCGGCCCTGTCTGCGCAGCCCCCTCGGCGGGGACATGTGGTGGTGACACTGTTGGCCTTCCCTGGCAGTCACAGCTTCCTGTCCAGGACGTGCCAGCTCGGGTAAGTGGGGTGCTTGCTGGCCAGCTGTTCAGGGATGGTGTGTGTGTGTGTGTGTGTGTGTGCACGCACGCGCGCATGTGTCCTTGTCCTGTATCCCCTGCCTGGGCTGTGGATGTGTCCCACAGCAAGGTCCTAAGGACTGTTTCGGGGCGTGGGGTGACCCCAGGGACCTTAGGGTTTTCTGCCTGCGCTGTCTGGGCAGATGGAAATGACTGGATGTGCAGCTTCTGCAGCTTTGTGCCTTTATTTCTGTCTCTCTCTGTAACTAGACAGTATTCTCTGCTTTGGGGAGATGGAATCTGTTAGCACTAACAAGTATGTAAGGAAGAGGGGGGGAAATTACCAAAATCTGTCTGCGTTATTTAGCTGGGGGCTGGTGCATACGTCAGGGCCTAGGGGCAGCTGAGCCAGACCCCCACAGAGGGAAGCGGGAAGCGTATGTTTAACTAAAATACCTTCGATTTTTTTAGTTCATAGAGATGGAGTGGATTGGGGGAGGGGGAGTGTTTGCTGGCTTGGAGGGGAGGGGCATGGATTAAGCTTGGAGACTTCCAGAGAGAAATAGGATGCTTTTGAGAAAGGTGCGTGGCAAGCGTTCAGGGGCTTTATGCTATGTGAGGTTGAATGAATCAGGGGAGCCCTCTTGGGCCTCGGTGAGGATCACTCCTGCCTTTTGGGGCCTTGTTGCAGGGCAGGGTTTAATGAGGGTGAAGCTTCTATTAGCTGCGAATGTTGTAAGAACATGAATGTGGCCAATGAAAGAGGCCTGGCACAGAAAGGAACCCAGGGTCGGGCCATGTCAGCCACAGGTGGCAAAAGAAAAGATGGCTTTTCTAAATTATTATTTTTTTCTTAAAAAGATTTTTAGTTTTTTAGCTCATTTGGAAGGCAGAATTGTTTGGGGTAGAGAGAGAGAGAGAGATCTTCCATCTGCTGGTTCACTCTCCAAGTGGCCACAACAGCTACAGCTGTGCCAGGATCCCTGCGCGTTCTCTGAGTGTCCCACATGGGTGCAGGGACCCAAGCACTTGGGCCATCTTCTGCTGTCTTGGGTGCTGTAATAGGGAGCTGGATCCAAACTGGGGCAGCAGATACTGAACTGGTGCCCATATGGGATACCGGTACTGCTGTCAGCAGCTTAAGCTACCATGCCACAACACTGGGCCCTATTATTTATGTTTTTTAAGGTGGATTCTAGGAGCACGGCAAGGGGAAAGAGACGAGACTAAAGGGCAGACGAGACAGGCTGAGGGGCTGGCTGTGGGAGTCCAGCAGCTACTGAGCTCTTGGTGGCTGTGTGAGCTGTGGTTGGTCACTCACCCTCTCTGGGCTTGGCGCTCAGCCACAAGGGTGTGATGAGGGTCAGCGGGGATTCCTGATGTAGGGGAAGGCTCGGGGATGAGGAAACACTGGGGGCAGCAGGAGGGAGGAGATGGGAGAGGGCGTTCTCTCTTGGACATTTGGAGTTGGATCTGGGTTCGAATCCCAGATTCCTTTCTGAGTGACTTCAGGCTTTTTCTTTCATCACTTTTTTACCATCAAGAGCAGATCAGGAAGTCAGCTGAGTTCCCCAAAGTCCTGGCAAATGCCCACGCCTATTCCATTGCCTTGCCTAGAGCTCAGAGAGCTGGACCAGCCTGGCCCAGGGTGATCCCCAGGGCTGGTCAGTGGAGGGTCAGCTGGGGCCAGAAGCCAGGGTCCACCCAAATCTCGCAATCTCCCTCCCTGCGAATAGTCTGTAAATTCACTATTGCTTCTTGGTTTTTTTTTTTTATTCTTTAGCTGCAGCTTCTCCATTTCCTCTGACGCCCTTAAATCCCCATGGAGCCATATCCGTAACCATGGCGACGCGGGTCGAGGTCAGCACCATCGCATCACTGACAGCAGTGCCAGGCCTCGGTGACATTGGCAAGGAGGAGTCCCTGAAGCGGGCCTACTTTTGCCAGGCTGCTGCCGATCCCTCGGGGGTAGCCTCTGCCCGGGGCCTGGAGGCCAAGGGCATCCTCAGGAGCTCTGGCTCCTTGTTCCCTCTGCCGAGACTCGCCCCCAAGCCCTTCTCCAAAGAGCAGGCTTCAGAGGGGAAGCCCCCTGCCAGACTCTCCGAGGAGGTGGTGGCAGCGAAGGTGTCCAGTGTGGTGACAGAGGCGGGCAGTGTGTTCAGCAGGGCCTCATTCCTGAGGCCCAATCGCAGCACCATGACCCTCTTAGGAAGCACCCAAGCCAGTCCCGCTCCGGGAAATGGGGTAGGCCACAGGCCCCATGAGACCCCACCTGGCTCTCGGCCTGAGGTGGCCGCCAAGCCTGCTGTGCCCGCCCGGAAGCCAGTGGTGCCCCTTCCTCGACCAGCCGCCCTCCCGCAGGATACAAGGTCACCTATAGCTGCGGAGGGGCCGGGCCCTGAGCAGCCCCGTTTGAAGGCCAGCAGTGTGGAGGACACGGCCGGCCCCATCCCAGAGCCCAAGCCTCGCCTCAAGCAGAGGCCGGTATCTGCCATCTTCATTGAGGCCCTGCAGCCTCAAAGACCAGGCCCCGGCGGGTTGGCCGCGGTGGGGAAAACACCCCCGACTCCACCCGAGAAGACCTGGGAGAGGAGGCCCAGACCCCTGTCCGTGGACCTCACAGCCCGATTCGAGAACAGAGAGGCCTTGCTGAGGAAAGTGGCAGAAGAAGGACAAGGAGGCACGGCGGATCCCAGCACAGAGCGGCGGGGCCCAGAGAGGCCCAGCCCCGAGCCCAAGGGGGACGGGGAGTGTGTGGCACAAGCGGAGGCTCCCGGTCATGAGCCAGGCTCGGACTTCCTGGAAGTGACCAGGAAATTCCGTGACCGCCAGGAGAAACTGCTTGTCAAGCAGGTGGAGCCGAGCAGTCCCAGGAGTCCCGGGGGCTTGGCCAGGGCCATCCCCAGGGATGAACCATATCCTTGGGAAGAGAAAGCCTGGCAGGACGGGGAGGAGCCAGAGAAGACTCCCGCATCCCCTTTGCCCAAGTTGGGCAAAGTCCCAGAACTTGCTGAGGTCAAGAGCAGAAGTACCGATGGGGAGACAGGCTCAGCAGGTGCAACGTGGGTCTCCAGGGGCAGCGTCAGGAAGCGGCTCAGCCTATTCGGAGAGGACAGTGCCTTGGCCTCACCAGCCAGGCCTGAATCCCCCCTGGCCACCCCTGAGTCTCCATCCCCAGCGCCCGAGCCTGAAAAAGGGGGCCCGAGCGTCCAGGAGCGGATCAAGGGCTGGGCCGTGGAGAGCCCTGAGGCGAAGCCGGAGTTCAGGAGGAGGACGTTCCAGGCGCGGCCACTGTCGGCGGATCTGACTAAATTGTAAGTGTGGGCGCATCCCTGGGGCCTTGCTCCATCCCCTACCGCTGCAGAAGCACCTATCAGAGACCTGCAGCCAAGGCTGCGCTGTGCCAGGCACCTTATAGACCCCCACTTGGTGTACCCACAGCCCCAAAAGGAGTGGCTGGCAGTTCCCATTTCTCAGATTAGGTGGCATCGGGGGTTCCTCCAATTCCCTGAACTCTTTTTCTGCATTTACCATGTGAGGACAGTAGGGGGTGTTGTCCCCACGTCCCAGTTGCAAGTGGGAAGGGTGCAGGATGGTGGGAAAGCTGAGAGCCAGGAGCTGAGAAAATGGCCAACTCAGCTACTCTGTAGCTAAACCCCCTTTCCCTGAGGTTAGGTGTGAGCCTTGGCGAGTGACCTGGAGACAACATCCCACTGGCAAGCCCCAGCATGCAAAATAGGGCAGGTGACTGACTGGCGCTGCGGTTGAAGAGGTCATTTGGGGTGCTGTGTCCCGTGTTGGAGCACCCAAGTCCAGTCCTGGGGTCTGCTCCCGTCTCTAGCTTCCTGCTGGAGTTGGGTCTCTACCACCATTGCGGGAGACCTGGACCAAGTTGTAGGCTTGCGACTTCAGTCTGGCCCAACCCCGGGTGTTAACACACGAGGGTCTAGGGGACAAATCTGTCTCTCGATAAATCCAAATTAAAAAGAAAATGCAGAGTGGAAATAATGCTAAGACCTTTCCTGAAATGCTGAGACACGGACTTCAAAGGACACTGTAGAATTGTCGTGTGCGTGGGTGGGCCCTATCGCCTGGTGCTTCCCAAGGGACACTGATGGATCTAGTCTGACATCTCTGGCTTCTTGGTGACCTCAGGGACTGCCCTGAGGAGATGCCAGCAGCCATGATCCCCACCCCCCGGCACGTTGAGGCCATGTATGGTCTCCTCTCTCTTGTCCCCACCCTGCCTTGTCTAGGGTGGAGCTCCAGGGGCAGGGTCTTCAGGGCAGAGATCCTGGGAACCAGGGCAGCTGTCGGCAGCCAGCTGGGTCAGGGTTAGATCTGTGACCCAGAGCAGCATGTGGCAATCCCCTGGGAAGAATACCGGTGTCTGGGTCCTCCCCTCACCAGCCCCCCAAAAGCTGATTCAGCTGGGGAGTGGGGATGGGGTGCCTATTTTGGGAGGTTTCATGAAGCTTCCGAGTGGTTTGCATAAGAACTCCTGAGTTAAGCCACAGAAAGAGGGGCCTCAAGGTTGAGAACCTGGTATGCTTCCTCTTAATCGCGTACCCCGAGTGCCTCTGACAGATGGGAAAATGGAGGCCCCAGGCACCTTCTGAGGGCAGCACCCCACCCATTGCCAGGCAGGGAAGGTCAAGATTGAGTGTTTCGAGTTGTCTCCCCCACCTTCTGTTTCCTTCCAAACCTTCTAAGCACCTGCTACAGCTCCCCTCCCTCTCCCGCTTTACCAGGGCGGGGAAACTGAGGCCCTGAGAGGGTTGCCCAGAGAGTGGGGAGGGGACAGACCCGAGTCCCACCGCAACCTGCGGCCCATTGCCAGCAGCGGTGTGGTGTGACTGCTGTGAGCCTGAGGTTGCCAACAGCAACCACCGATGATCCCTTGTAGGGCATCTTCACTCTTCCTTAAATGCCCTCCTGGAGTGGAGCTGTGAGGGCTTGGGTAGCCTCAGCTGCCCTATCAAAGGGGCGGGGGAAGGTGCTCATTACCTCCGCTTTATAGATGCAGGAATAGAGGCGCAGGGGAGTCCCACGCCCAACCCAAGCCGGGCCAGGGAGGGACGAGTAACTCCTGGTGCCCGTGCTGCAGCCTGGGGCTCCTTCCAGCCCAGGGATGCTGCCTTTAAGGTGTGCTGTCTCCACCTCCGGGCCCCCTCTCCTTTTTTGGCAAATGGGCAGTGTAGTGTGACTTCGCCAGAGTGCCCTGTGGAGCGTGGGATGGGCACGGAGGAGGCGGGGAGAGGGAGGGACAAACACGGGTTCTGGCATCCTGTTAACAATTACGTGGGTTTCTACACCAGGTTTTCAAGTTCAGCTTCAAGCCACGAGGTCAGATACGAGAAGATTTCTGAACCGAGTGGCGAGCTTCCTAAGGAACGGAAGGAGAAGGTAAAGGTAAGGGGCGGCTGTGTTGGGTGCCTCTTGTCCCCCACAGGGGTGGAGTGGGATGGAGTTATTTGCTGGAAAAGTGAGCTTTCAGGGTCTGCTGGACCTGGGCAGATGATATCAGAGCTGAGTGGAGGGCAGAGAAATGTTTTTTTTTATTTTTCTCTCATTTTGAGATTTTATTATTAAAGTCTCCTCTGGCGTGCTGGTGTCTCCTCTGGCACCAATCCCGGATGTTAAATGCTGTTTACAGATGTAATAGTCAGGTGTTTATTTGGAAGGCAGAGAGAGAGAGAGAGATTTTCGCATTTGTTAGTTTATTGTCCCAAAGCCTGCAAACAGCCAAGGCTGAGCTAGAAGAAAGCCAGAAAGCAGAAATTCCATCTGGATCTCTTGACCTGCGTAAAAGGAACCCAGGCCCTTGGGTCATCTTCCACTGCCTTCTCAGGCACATTAGCAGGGAGCTGGATTGGAAGTGGAGTAGCTGGGACTCGAACCAACACTCTGATATAGGACAGTGGCATCTAAAGTGGTGGCTTAACCCCCTGTGACACAGATGCCAGCCCCTAGAGACTTCATTTTGAAGGTGGCGTTGAGATACAGCAGGTGCGCCTTGGAGGTCAGTGACGCTTGAGATCACCTCCTGTAGGTCCAGATCCACATGTTTGGATATAATGCAATTTATTTATTTATTTGTTTTTAAAGATTTTTGTTTTTAATTGAAAAGTCAGATATACAGAGAGGAGGAGAGAGAGAAAGGAAAATCTTCTGCCCGCTGTTTCATTCCCCAAGTGGCCACAATGGCTGGAGTTAAACAGATCCAAAGCCAGGAGCCAGGAAGCACTTCCTGGTCTCCCCCATGGGTGCTGGGCCCTAAGGCTTTGGGCCATCTTCTACTGATTTCCCAGGCCACAAGCATGGGGCTGGATGGGGAGTGGAGCAGCTGGGACATGAACTGGCACTCATATGGAATCCTGGCACATGCAAAGGTGAAGACTTTAGCCACTAGGCTACTGTGCTGGGCCCCTGGATATAATGAGATTTACTTATCCAGTGACCATCAGGTGAGCATCTAGATTATTTCTGTGAGTTTATTTTTAAACATATTTATGTATTTTGAAGTCTGGAGTTAGGGAGAGGGAGAGCAACAAATCTTGCATCCCATGGGTCATTCCTCAGGTAGCCACCATGGCTAGGGGTGGGCCAGGCTGAAGCCAGGAGCTTCTTCAGGGTCTCTCACGTGGGTGACAGGAATCCAAACACGTGAGCCATTATCTTCTGGTTTGTTTTTTTTTTTTTTCTTTTTCAGACCATTAGCAGGGAACCAGATCAGAGGTAGAGTAGCTGGGACACAGATCCGTACCTCTACAGCACACGGAGTCTTGGGTGATGGTTTTTTACCTGCTCTGCCACAACCCCAGCCCCCTGTTTCTGTGCTGTTTAGTGTTCGCAGACAGGGCTGCCCAGACTTGGCTTGTCACGTGGCTTGGTACAAATGGGCCAAGAAGGTCCTGGGAGGAAAGAAGTACTTTATTTTCATTAGTTCGTCTTTTTTATTTGAGAGAAAAATCTCCCATCCGCAGATTCACTCAAGACCCAGAGATGGGCTAGGCTAAAGCCAGGAGTCTGGGACTCAACTGGGTGGCAGAGGGATAGGGTGCACATGAGCAGAAAGCTGGAATTGGAAGTGGAGCTGGGAATCGAACCCCAGCCCTCTGATATGGGATGTGTGCATCCTAGGCAGGGTCCCTAGGCAGCGGGCCCAAACGGCCGCTATGAACATGAGTGGTTCAGAAGCCCAGTAGACATGGCTGCCACATCGCCCCAGAAGTGTGCCCGGGGCTCCTGCCCAACAGTCTGTGAGCATATGCTTCCTTGCGCGCCCATCCACAGGTATCAGTCTGTAGAATTTTATGGAATCATGTTGTTTCAAGGAGACCAGCCTCTTCAAGTCTTTGACCTCCCCAGTCTGAATCCTTTAACGTGGGATTTTGTTGTTGTTCTCTGTGTTTCAGCCAAAGGAAGGGCATGGTTTGGATGGAGTACCTGCCCCAAGAAGCCCCTGGAAACCTGCAACCCTCCGGGACAGGCCCGGCCAGATGGAACGGAAGGATAGCTCTAACCAAGAACCGGACTGTGGGGCAAAGCCCTCGGAAGTCACCCCAGAAGATGACGGAAGCTTCCAGACTGTGTGGGCCACGGTGTTTGAGCATCACGTGGAGAGACACAGTGTGGCCGTGGCCATGGCTGACCCGTCGGAACGCTGTCTCTCAGCCACGCCCCCTCGTGATGTGGAGCCCAGACCCAGGCCTGAGAGGGAACCCAGGCTGGGGAAGGATCCACTGGAAGTAGCCAACCTCAGGAAGAGCTCCAGGTGGCCTGGGACCCCTGAGAAACTGGGACAGAGCGCCCCAGTGGATGGAGAACCACGACGGGGCTCCCCACAGTTCCCAGAGGGATGCCCTTGGGGGGAGAAGCGAAGTAGCACCCCCTTCCTCCAGCACTCAGGAAGCCCCCCTGCTGCCCAGAGAGTCGAGCCGAAGTTTGACGTCCTTGCGCACACAGTGGTGGAGCGAGTACACAGCGAGGCCATCTCCACGGTGCCCGAGGTACCCGCCCTGACATTGCGTAGCCACAAGCCCCGGCTCTCACTGTCCCAGGAGGGCTCCACTGCCCCTACTAGCCCTGGAGGTCAGATGGGGTCTGTGCAAAGGGCCAGTTTAATCTGGGAGGCCCGACGAACACAGGAGGCCAACGGGCCGAAAGACACATCTGGGGGACCTCGCTCCCCATCACCCAAGTGGACAGCTGGGAAGACCTTGAGCTGGTATAAAGCCACCATGGTGGGCAGTGAGGAACCAAGCACGCCCGAGGCCACCTCCACGAGGGTTATCAAAGCTGCAGTGCAGGAGTCCCCACAGCAGTGCCCTGGTGGGACTGGTACCTCGCCAGGAGGCTGTGTTTCAATGGCAGAAAAGGATCAACTGCGGGGTGGGGCCCTGGAGCCCTCTGTCAAGGCCAAGGTTGAGGCCACCAGCTGGAGAGCACCATCAGATTTCATGCAAAGACATTCCCTGGGCCTGGCCACCAGCGAGGGTGAGCCAAGTCCGGCCAAGGTCCCCGAGTCTGAAGTCAAACTGCGGAAAGCCGGGCCCACGGACGCAAGAGTGGACAGGTGGAGGCGGCGGACACTGCCCCATGACGTGAAGTTTGACACGTTCAGCTTCCTCCCTGCGGAGAACTGGCAGAAGGCAGAGCGGCGAAGGATAACGGGGGATGCAACCGTAGACACACCTCAGTTGTCCCACCCTGGGGTACAGACCCAGGTGGGAAGCCCAGGTGGCCCCCGCATGAAGCATGGGTCCCCTGAAGAGCCCAAGGCCACGTTCTTTGCTGTCACCTATCAGATCCCAGATATCCAGAAGGCCAAGAGCGTTGTGAAGCCGGCAACTGAACATGTGCTGGAAGCTTCTAGAAAGACCCCTCCGCCTCTGTCTCCTCGTCCCCTGGTTTCTCTTGGCCGTGAGGAGCCACTGCCTGAGACTGCAGGCAGTAAAAGCTGGGCTGAAGGCCGGGAGCGGGAAGACCTAGTGAACATGGCTAAGATCCTGGGGCCCACAGAGCATCCGGCTACTGTTGGGGACAGGCTTCCAGATCCTTCCAGCGAGAGGATCATTGACGTGGATGCTTTGCAGATTCAGCGGGGGGCACACCGGGACATTGGTTTTCGTGGTGATTGGAAGGACAGTGGGAGCCAGGGGTACCCCAGCAGTAATGAACCCCAGGCCACGTCCACTCTGAAAAGCCAACCCAGGACCAGGGAGTCGCAGGTGAGACGGAGGACAGAAGTGATCAGCGACACCTTTCCAGGCAAAGTCCGAGATGGCTACAGGTCCAGCGTCCTTGACCTCGACAGCCTCATGGCTGAGTACAGGGAGCAGGCCAGCAAAGTCTCAGGGCAGGCTCAAGAGTCCAAGCGGGGATCCGCCTGGGAGAGGCCTGGCCAGCCAAGTGGGCCAGAGTGGAAGAGGAGGAGCCTGAAGGATGCCCCTAAAATGGAGGGCACCTGGAAAGATGTCAGTGTCACGGGTGTGGACCATGCCTACACGCCCAGCCCAGGCAGGCAGCCAACAGAGGCCACCGCGGTATCCCCCAGCACCAAACCCAGCTCTCCTTTGTGGGCTCTGCCGTACCCAGCCCCTCCGGAGAGACAGCCTGGGGTCCCTTCTGTCTCCGAGGGACCCAAGAACAAAGTCTCAGGAATCACAGAAGAGGAGAAGCAGAAGCAGGCGTCGATCAGAAAACACAGTGCCCTGGGCCAGAATTTCTCCGTGGAGCCCAAGACCTCAGGCCGGGAGGACCTGGGCAGCAGCGAGGCCAAGGGATCGCCCAGGTCATCTGACGCTGAGCAGAAGAAGGGGGCCCCCAGAAAAGCCACCAGGCAGGTAGAAGAGGAGGAAGAGGGCCGTGTGGCCCAGTCGGGTGCCCGCCTGACATCACCTGTGGTCGTCAAGAGGGCCAGTTCGGAGAAGGGCCGCCCCATCAGCCTCCTGGAGGGCCTGTCTGTCATGAAGGAAGCCCACGAAAGGAGGCAGGAGCAGGTCCAAGGGAATGCCAGCCTCACCACAGAGAGTTTGGAGACCAAGGTCGGGCCCGGCAGGTGGGAGTCCAGGCCCCGAGATGGGCATAAGGTGAGTGTCAGGACCCTGGTGCGTTGGGCCACATGTCTGTTCAACAGGAACTGTGGACCATGTCAGTACAGAAATGAGGGGCCGGGTTGGGGTGGAGCTCCAGGGACTGGTGTGGATGACAGCACACCATCATATTTCACCCGGAGGCGGCAGCTTGCCCTGCAGCCGGGTCCTGATACCCTTGGCACCTCATTTGTCAAGAGAGCTGAAATTCTAGGCAGGAAATGGGGTGACTCGCTAAAAACGCTACACACACTCTTGTCTACTGGTTTCATGGGCATCCTCTCTGGACCACACAGCAGCCAGTGGCACAGTGCGAGCACTGGGTCCCAGGTTTTCTGGTCCAGGACCCAGGCCCAGGAGGTCTTTGGCTTGTTTCTGATGGGCCTCTCTGGCAAGTGAAGAGCCACCACAGTGGCGAAGCAAACTGAATCAGGCAGGCCTCCCTGGGGGTGGGATGCTGTGGGTGAGGCCAGGAAATGACAGGGTTCAGGAAGGAGGTGCTGCCTGGATCCTGGCCTTGAGGGAGGTGTGTGAACTGGTGAGGATTGAGCAAGGGTCATGAGGGGATTTTCAGCAGGTGCACAACACAGAGGGATAGAGGGTTGTGTGTGCGAAAGACACAGCTGTGTGGAGGCTGTGGGGTGTGGCTGACCAGAGCCCGTGCCCCAGCCCTGTGACATTTGCCCACTGCCCCTCTGTGTTGTGACCATGCCCTGAGGTGGGCTAAGTGGGGAGACCATCCATCAACTTACCCGGAGGGGTAGGGATGACCCCATCACCTATTAGTCCTGTGGCACTGGAGGTGGGGAGAAGCCTGCAGCATGTGGCCCTGGCCTTGGAGAGGAGTTGGGGTCCCCTGTGTGCATCTCAGGCTGTCACCTTGGCTGTGCCAGCCTTAGTACCCACACCTGGCAGTGACCATGACAGTCGCTGTGTCTCCCCTGCCTGTTGTGGGAGCAGTGGTGGGGGCGGGGATGGAAATGTGACTCTGGCTGTGTCTTGCCAGCGCCTCGTTCCAGTGCTGCAGCTGCTTGGCAGCATGGGAGGCTGGGAAGGGTTTGGGGGTGATGAGGGGGGCGTCTGGGCCCGGTTCTGTCTCCTAGCCCAGCCTTGGCCCCCAGCCTGGAGCGCTGGTTGTTAGGGGTTCCGTGTGTTCGCCAGGGCTGTTGGAGGTTCATGTCTCTCTTCTCTGGCCTCCCTAAGACCTCTGGTTATGGAACTAACGCCCTCCCCCCGAAACTCTTCGCCCTGCAAAAAAGAGCCAAGCCAACACAAGGGGGCAGGCAGCCAGAACAGGAGCCCAGAATGTCAGTGATGGAATATTGAAACCTGGGCAGGTTCTGGGCATGGCAGTGAATACACTGCCTGGCACACCTGCCTCGCAGATGGAACCCCTGAGTTCCAGTCTGTTTCTCTCTCTCTCTCTCTTTCTTTTTTGTTTAACTTAAGAATTATCTGTTTTTTATTGGAAAGGCAGGAGAGACAGAGAAACAGAACTCCCGTCCACTGGTTCCACTCCTCAAATGGCTACAACAGTCAGAGCTGAGCCGATCCGAAGCCAGGAGCCAGGAGTTTCTTTCAAGCCTCCCACTCAGGTGCAGGATCCCAAGGCTTTGGGCCGTCCTCAGCTGCTTTCCCAGGCCACAAGCAGGGAGCTGGATGGGAAGTGGGGCTGCCGAGATTAGAACCAGCACCCATATGGGATTAGCCTATTGAACCACCATGCTGGTCCACTATGATTTTTTTTTTCTAGTTTGCTTTCTTAAAAGAATAGTAAAAACCAAAGTTTTAGGATGCTTTCCTAAAGAAGAGATGTTGAATGTGCGAGGAGATAGGTGTATTTACTTAATTGGGTGTGCTGCAGTGGGTCCTGCGTGGACTCACTCCCTAGCTCCCCATCATCACGTGCACAGAAGGAAACAAACAGATGAGTGGCTTCGCTTGCTTGCGTCTTGGTCCCGGGCATTGGTACCCCCGGGGCACATTTTGGTCAAGTCAGGACATGTTGTGTTTTTTTGTTATTGTTGTCACAGTAAGCAGGAAGTTGTTCCTGGCATCCGAGGGTAGAGGCCAAGGTTACTGGCCGTCGGCATCTCCCACAGGCATGGGGTAGGTAGGGTCCAGCCCCCAGTGCCACAGCTGGGAGATCCTGGGAGCTGGTGCGCGTGCACAGAGAGACACAGGCAGAGTCACTTGGTTTTCATGGACACACAGCAACACTCAGGAGCACGCCACTTGCCTGTTAATGTTATTCTCCAGAACACAAAGGTGAACTTTATCTGATGATTTATTTTTTAAATATTATGTTATTTGAAAGGTAGTGTGAAAGGGATCTTCCATCTGCTGGTTGACTCCCCAAATGGCCAAAGCTGGGCTCTGGTCCAAAGCCAGGAGTCAGGAGCTTCTCCTGGGTCCCCTATGTGAGTCCAGGGAGCCCAAGGCCACGTGGTACTTTCCCAGGTTAGCAGGGAGCTGGATTGGAAGCCAAGGCTCCTATGGAATGCTGGGGCAGCCCCTGGACACACTTTGCCACAGCGCTGGCCCCAAAGGTTTTGAATTTTGAATAATTCCATTGTTTGCTGCTGTTGATGGTGTTCCGTTGTCTTACCTTCGCATGCCTCGTCCAGAGTCATGAAGGTTTATAGCCGCATGTTTTTCCAAGAGTTTTGTTGTGTTTGGCTCTCACAAACAGATCTTTGCGTCAGCTGGGGTGCAGGTTTGTGGCCTTGGTTTGAGGCGTTGAGGAAAGGAAGAAAATGTAGATGACCCAGGGATGTTGGCCAGCCCAGCTTGGGGAGGGGGCAGGCAGATGGGGGCAAGAAGGGACTTTTGGACAGGGGGAAAATCCAGAGCTCCATTGCGGGCAGGTAGATCTCAGGTGGAGATGGTGAGTGGGCAGTGGCCACTGCACACCTGGGATTGAGTCGGGGGCTGTACGGGTATGCACAGAACTGATTTAAACCCAGGTGTGTGTGTGTGTAGCGGGAGGTTGTTGGGGAAGGGAAGAAGACAGTGTTTGGATGCTGAGGGTGATGTTTAAAACTAAGGTCCCCAAGAATTCTCGCTGGTGGTAGCGAGACTTGCTAACGTCCAAGGGACACCATACAGAGGGGCAGTTCCTGGTATCTATGCACGTCTGCCCCCTGGTGGCTTCACTGGGTCCTGCACCCGAGTGCTTTTTTTCTGCATCGCCCTTAGCAGCTGGCAACTGGGGGTGTGTGTTTTTCCACCAATTTGTGCGTGTGTTTCCAGCATCTGCAGATTCACTCCCCAGTAGGCGAGCCTGGGCCAGGCTGAGCCCAGGAGCTCCCCTGAGGACGGCAGGGACCCATGTGCCTGAACCATCACTCTCTGCCTCCCAGGGTGTGTGAGGAGGAAGCTGCAGTTGGAGTGGTGCCTGGAACCCAGGCACCCTGGCATGGGATGTGGGCATTGTTGCCGGGGTTTTTTAAGTCTCCCTTCACGTAGTTCTTAAGTGGCTGAGGCTGGGCCACTTAGGGCAGAGGTTTTTTCTGGGGAGCTTCATTTTCCTCCTTGTCGGTTTTGGCACAGAATGGCTCCCTCTGGTTCTGTAAGTGGGAAAGCCCCCAGGAAACTCTCTCATGCTGTGTCTTTCAGGTGCCGCCACGGGACCCTGAGAAGGGAGCTGAGCAGCCGCCCCGGCAGGTGTCCCCTACAGCCTCGAGCCCCCGCAGGAGCCGCAGCTTCCACCGTGACAAGAGGAGCGGGCCCTTCGTGGTGAGTGACAGCGGTGTGGCTGGAGACACACTCCCAGGTGGAGCTGGTCACGGCTGCCACGCCAGCGTCGAGGGCTGCGTTGGCCGAGCTGGCGTCTATCTGTGTGGCATGTGGTGGTTCTGCTGGGGGAGCTGCCCCCTTGCACTTCTCCCATGAGGCTGGGGAGCTCCTAGCATGGCGCAGCAAAGGGAACGTGAAGTCCTAGGTTCGAGTCCCAACACTGGCTCATCTCAGCCTCTTGCGTTGCGTGAGCAATTAGCTTCCCGTCTCTGCGTTTTTGTTCCTTCTGGAAAGTGGCTCGGGGGTGCCTGCTGGGGTACACTCAGACTCTGCGGGAGGCAGGTGTGGTCGGCTGTGACGGGGCCATGGTGAGCCAAGCCTGGTTTGGAGCCAGAGTTTCTGCTTCCCCGGTCCTAGACCTGTGTATATTCGTGTGTCTCTGATCTCAGTCTCTTCAGCCCTAAAATGGGGGTGACAGTGGTGTCCACTCTTGGGGGCTGGCGTGGGACCCGATGCTGTAGACACAGCTGTTGTGTAGCCGGTGTCACTGTCATGACTGGTTGTTGTCACATTCACTGTGTCCTCTCGTGACTGCTTAGCTCTGTCTTCCTGGCCCAGCGCTTCCTCTCGCTCTGCTTATAAGCAGAGATCGAGGTTTTGGGAGTCTTCCCCTTGTGTCTGGATGAATTCCGGGGTTTTCTTGTGTTGGATTTGATGTCTGTGGGATCCGGAGCTTCTGAGCTCTGCGTCAGCTCCCACGAGGTGGTCTCTCGGAGATGCTTCCGCTTCTGCTCAGCGGGGTCTGTATGCGTCATGGCTTTGGCCTGGGAGGGAGGTCCTGTGTGAAGCTTTGTGGCAGGGACAGGACTGTCCCCTCCCTGAGGCGGGAGCAGGTGCCCTGGCACAGCAGCAGGTGCAGGAGATGATGTGACCTTGTGGACTGCAGGAGGCCTCTGCGCAGCAGCCCCGGTGGTCCTGAGGGAAGGGTCTGCAGCGCAGTGGCTGACACACGCGTCTTAGACCCGCCTGGTTTGCTTTTGGCAAACGCGTTCCCTCTGCTACCCTTTCTGCACTCCGCGGTGGCCTCGGCTCCACCACTCTGTATCTGAACTTGTGGGCCTGTTTGAGGACAAAGGTGAATCCTAGGGATCAGCTGAGCTCCTCCTCAATCAGGTGGGAGGAGGGAGGAACTGTGGGCGGGGCCTCTCCTGCATGCCCTTGAGCTCCAGCTGAGCCAGGAAGCCTCCCTAGACCTTAGGGGTTTTACTGGGGAGACTAAGGCCCTGAGGGTGGGGAGGCATCTCCATCTGGTGCTGCTGGGCTGGGATTTCTCTCTTTCACTTTTCAGGGGTTTCCCATCAGGGGAGCCTAGTGTTGGCCGGGGATGGGAGTGGAGGATTTGGGAGGGAGAAGAGAGTGGGCCCTCAGGTCAGGAACCAGCAGCAACTGCCTCAGGGCAATGACTGTGAATAAGAAAGAACAGCCAGAGTTTGGGTAACTAGTGGTGAAGGTTTGGACAGCTCTGTTTTACCAAGCACTGGCTGTATGCCAGGTGCTGTGACGTGAGCTGCACCTGCTTTATTATCATATTGAATTTGTTCAAGGGTCAAGGGCTCCCCAGGCGGGGCGGGGGAGTTGGTGGGATCCACACCAGGCTCAGCATGCTGGGAGGTGAGATATGTCCCTGGATCGGGTATCTGGGGCGCAGTGGACACATCCCTGCCGGGGAGCAGGGTGGAAAGGCCAGGTGGGACGGTGGAGCTGGCACAGCTAGAGGGACCCTGTCGACCCGGGTAAGGCTGGGTGATGGACTGTGGGCGTGAGTGTGCAGCAGCTGGGTGGCCCTTGGCCGACCTAGGAGCTCTCTGAAATGTGCCAAGTCCCTTTGTGAATTGCTTCTTGGAAAGTACTGATATCTCCGCTGGTTAAAGTTCATTTTCTGGATGAGAACCAGCCGGCAAGGTCAGAAGGCTTTTGTTTTCTGGGTCTTCAAGGCTGTAGCATCAACTGTGCCTGAGGTTTCTGTCCTGATGATATTTTATATTCACCCATTTACCCTTCCATCTGTGTGTGCACCTACCCATCTAGGCGTTTAACCTCTAGTCCACTCATCTCACCCATCCCTCTGTCCACCACCCATCCCTCTGTCCACCCACCCATCCCTCTGTCCACCCACCCATCCATCTGTCCACTCACCCATCCATCCATCCATCCATCCATCCATCCATCCATCCATCCATCCATCCATCCATCCAATCAACCGTAGGTACATACATACAAGTCACTAAATCCATCCATCTATCCATCCATGTATCTTTAACCCAATAAGTTTTCCAAATATATATGATGTAAAGATGGGTAGTTTATCTCCTGGCTTAGAATTGCTCACATTCAATAGATGATGAACAAATGATTGTATGATCCAGGGTGATCACTGCGTTTGAGACATCCATCACACATCTGCCCCATCTCCTGGGTTAGTCCTGACCCTTCAGGCCCAGCATTGAACTTGACATGTGGACTTGCTGCCCTCCCAGAACTCATCGTTGTTGAGTCTGGGGAGATGATCTGATCCAAGGAGTCAGGCCCCAAAGAGGGGACTTCGGGGGTGTTAGTAAGGTCTATGAAGAAAAGAAAATGGAATTTGTAGCCTCAGGAGAGACTGGGGAGAGGGTAAGTGGGGGAGATTTCCCATTAGGAGGGCAGGGGGCCTCTCTGAGGGAGGACTAAGAATTAGAGGAGACTGGGCGTGTAGGAGAACGAGAGAGTGTCAGGCAGGGGGCCACAGGTGTGGCGGTCCTGGGATGTGTTTTATTCAGCAAAGATGGTGAGAGAGAAGATGCAGTAGTTGGGGCTGCTGTGGAGAGGGCACAGGGTTAAGAATAAGTGGGTTGGCCTTATGCTTTCTGAAAGACATTTGGGGAGTCAGGGCAAGTATGGTCCAGGGCACCCTCTGGTGGACGCCACGCAGAGCGCGTTCCTAGAGGGGCTTCCTGGGAAGCAGGCAGGATGGTGAGGTTGTTGACAAAGTTTGTGGTGGTTGTGAGGGAAACCACGCGCAGTTGTCTGTTTTCCCCTTGTCTCGGCACCCGGCACGGTGTCATTCACACGCACAAGGTGTTGTGGCGTCACAGACACTGCTCCGTGGTGATCTGTTTGTGTCTACACAAAACAGAATCCTCAGGTAGAAGAACTGAGTCTGACCAAGCTGGACCTGGTTCCAGCAGCACCACCTGGTGGTCCCAGGGTTCTGGGGTTGGGGAGGCTCTTAGGGGGAGAGTGACAAGGCTGTGAGGGATCTCAGCCATTGAGTGACAGGGTCAGACACCTACTCGCTTTGGAAAACAGCACCGGTGGCACTCCACTGCACCTGCTGGCACCTGGGTGTCCCCTTGTGGAGACTCCAGATACTGCAGGTCATGGAGCTTGGATGATGACACCCTGAGGCCCTTAACCTTTCCCAGGAGCACCCTCTTAACCCCAGCACCCACTGCCACCCTTTCACAAGTGAGGCAGACAGAGACCCAGAGCAGTGACATCACCTGCCCAGTGTGGGTCCTTGGGCACACTCACTGGAAACCCTATCAGATGATAACAGAGCTGATGAGAGACCCCCTCCCCCAGGGGGAGGGAGCCAGGAGGTCATTAGATGCCACCCTGGCCTTAATCCTTCTGGAGATGTCCAGGATGGGATGCAGGCAGGAGGGACAGAACAGGCAGCAGGGGAGGCATGCTCTACTGCTGTCTCATTAAACGCTGCCCACCGGGTCCTCGCCATCAAGAAGGCTCTGAGCCAAAAGCAGGCAGTGTGGCCCTGCCCACCCAGGCACCCTTGGCACATTGCCTTCTTTGCAAAAAGAGTTCTCAGTGACTTTGATTGATGGAGGATGTGGCAGAGACAGAGATCTCCCATCCACTGGTTTGTTTCCCTCCCCCCAGCGCTCTCTTCCACCTCATCTAAAAATGCCTGCAGACAGCTGGGAATGGCCTAGGGCTGAAACCAGGAGCCTGCAATGCCACCTGGGTCTCTGAAGTGGCTGGCAGGGTTCCAAGCATGTGAGGCACAGCGCCTGTCACCCGCCAGGGTGCGCGTGAGTAGGAAGCTGGCATCAGGAGCAGAGCTGAGACTTGAATGCGGGCACTGTCCTGGGGTACACCTGTTGCACGCCAGGTGTCCCTTCTCACCAATGCATTGTGTGCGCGCGGCGGAGTGCGCCAGTCCAGTCCCAATGACCGATGTGGGCCTGTGTGTCACCCGCTGCCCAGTGCGACAGCGAACACTCTTCTGGCCCATCCGAGAGCTCCCTGAGCCCCTCCGCCCACAGCCCCAGCCCAAAGGGGAACCCCTCTGCTCCCTCCCATCACCATAGCTCATGTTACATCATCAGGCTGTGGCATTGCAGTGCGGGGCCTGTGTCTGGCTAGCTTCCCCTGCCCCACTACCCTCTGGGCAGTGTGTTAGGTATGAGATGTGTTTAGGATGGTGCCATATGCAGCAGTAACCTGTAATTTTCCTTTGCTGTGTCTGCTGTGGGGGGGTGGGATAAACCACAGTGTATTTATCTGTCGTGCCATGGCCGCGTGTCAGGACTGTTTCCAATCTGGGCTGACTTGGAGTGTGGTAAATATTTGCTGATCCTGGTTTAGAGGTGTGTCCTGCACACACACACACACACACACACACACACACACACACACACACACACACACACAAAAAAACACACACACCCGGAAGATGAGTCAAAGCAATTCACTGATTGCTCAGCCCATCTCAGGAATGCAAGGTTGCTTTCCAGCATTCCTGGGAAATGGAATGAAGTTTATTTTGGTGCAGAAAATGGAAACCCGTGCATGTATTTTTTTTAAGATTGTTTTTATTTTTATTTGAAAGGTGGAACTCCAGAGAGGAGATAGATTTTCCATCTGTTGGTTTACTCCCCAAAAGGCTGTACAGCCAGAGTTGAGCCAATCTGAAGCCAGGAGGCTCTTCCAGGTCTCCC